AAAATACCAAATAATTCAATTTTAAAAAATGGGGTACAGAACAAAACAGAGAATTCTGAACAGAAGAATCTCAAATGGTCTAAAGACATTTGAGGAACTGCTCAACATCCTTAGTCATCAGGGAAACGAATATGAAAACTACTCTGAGATACCATCTTACACCTGTCAGAACAGCTAATATCAAAACGCTGATGATAGCTTATGTTGGAGAGGATGTAGAGTAAGGGGAACACTCCTCCACTGCTGGTGGGAGTGCAAACTTGTATAGCCACTCTGGAAATCAGTATGGCAGTTTATCAGATAATTGGGAATTAATCTACCTTAAGACCCAGCAATACCACTCTTGGGTATATACCCAAAGGATACTCAATCATATCACAAGGATACTTGTCCAACTCTGTTCATAGCAGCATTATTCATAATAGCCAGAGACTGGAAATAACCCAGATGCCCCTCAACTGAAGAATGGATGAAGAAAATGTGGCACATTTATACAATGGAGTATTAGTCAGCAGAAAAAAAAATGACATCATGAAATTTGTAGACAAATGGATGGAACTAGAAAAATATCAACCTGTATGAGGTAACCCAGGCCTAGAAAAACAAATATGGTATGTAATCACTCATAAGTATATAGTAGATGTAAAGCAAAGGACAAAAAAGCTACAATTCATAGCCCTAGAGAAACTAGGTAACAAGGAGGACCCCAAGAGGGACACATGGATCCCCCAGAGAAGGGGAAATATATGAGATCTCCTGGGTAAACTGAGGGTAGAGGAGGGGGTAGGAAGGAGGAAATGGAAGATGGGAACATGAGGGTTCAGGATGGTGTGATTGGGGGAGGGACTGAGAGGAAGAGAAACAAAAGAGATATCTTGATAGAGAGGGCCATTATGGAACTAGGGAGAAACCTGGTGCCAGGGAAAATCCCAGAAATTTTCTGAACTGGCTTCCTCTCCTGTAATCAGATTGGTGACTAACCTGATTGTCATCATAGACCCTTCACCCAGTAATTGATGGAAGCAGATGCAGAGATCCACAGACAAGCATTTGGCCAAGCTCTTGGTGTCTTGTTGAAGAGAGGGAGGAGAGTCAAGATCATGATGTGGAAACCCACAGAGACAGCAGACCCAAACTTGTGGGAGCTCATGGACTCTAGACAGATAGCTAGGGAGCCTGCATGGGACCAACCTAGACCCTCTCCATGTGGATGACAATTGTGTAGCTTAATCTGTTTGTGGGGCCCCTAGCACTGGGACCAGGACTTGTCACTGGCACATGAGCTAGCTTTTTGTAACCTAGTCCCTATGGTGGAATGTCTTGTTCAGCCTTGATGAAGTGGGGAGGAGCTTGGTCCTGCCTCAACTTAATATACCATGCTTTGTTGACTCCCATGTGAGAGGCCTTACCTTTTCTGAGGAGTAAATGGAAGGGGTAGAAAGGAGGTCGGGAGAGGGAACAGGAATAAAGGAGGGAGGGGAAACTTGATATGTCATGCTTTGTTGACACCCATGGGATGTCTGCCCCTTTCTGAAACAAAAACAAAGGAGGAGTGGATGGGGAACAGGGGAGGCAGGGGAGGAAACAGGAAGAGCGAAGGGAGGGGAAACTGTGGTTGAATGTAAAAATAAATGACAATAATAATAATAATAATAATAATAAAGAATTCCATAAATAAAACTTGAACAAGCCATTTTCTAAGAAGACAGAGTGTACAAACTCTGTAAATATACTACATGAGTATCTGTTTATATAGCTCTTCTATGGACCAGAGATTATCACCCGTTTTGTTTTTTTTTTGTTGTTGTTGTTGTTTATCCTCATATGGACTTACTTGTCATAGCCACATTTTAGCTATCAATTACATTCACTTATCCATAAAAATAAAGTGAAGTTGGGGCTGGGGAGGTTTCTCCTCAGTGGTTAAAGATGCTTGTTGCTCTCCCAGAGGATCTGAATTCCATTCTTAGCACCCATGTAGGGTGGCTCACAACTGCCTATCACTCCAATTGAGGGAATCCAACACACACACACACACACACACACACACACACACACACACACACACACGAATTTAAAAAGCTAACCTATAATAGAAGGTTCACTACCCAAACAGACATACATGGTAGCAAACAAAAACTGTCATACCAAGCATGGGTTACCTGTTTTTGAGTTGTTGGTCAGTAGGGACCCATAGAAAACACATAAACATCACAGGCCATTGTCAATGCTGTTGGTTAGCCCTCAGAAATAATCAGTAAGAACTTATTGCTGAAAGCATTAAATAGTTGAGCCATAGAACATGGAAAAATCAACCTGGAACTCAAATGGAAATTTCATTTGAACTGACTGACTTTCGTAGTATTAAAAGGTGCTATAGACTCTATTGTGAGGAGGAAATCATCAATCTCACCTAAATGTAAATGCTGCAAGCTATAATGGTAATTGGTCTAATAAGATATGACAACCAGTGAAATCATGATATGAATGACATGGCACCTGCTTATGTTTTCAACCCTAGGAAGGCAGAGACAGGTGGATGTCTGAGGCGCCCTTTCCAGACAGTGTAGCTAACTGAATCAGTGTCCCAGGGCCCAGTGAGAGATCTTGTCTCACAAAGTGAAACAGAGAGCTCCTGAGGAGTGACACTTGAGGTTGATCTCTGGCCTCCATACATACACACACACACACACAGAGAGAGAGAGAGAGAGAGAGAGAGAGAGAGAGAGAGAGAGAGAGAGAGAGAACTTATGACTGTTTTCCTAAAAATGTTGTTCTTGAAAACATCAATAGAAAATGTAACGATTTAATGTGTTTTATAAATCTGTACCATTCATATTTTATTGTTAATCATGTGGTAAATCTTTTTAGTTAATCAGACACATGGAGTCAGATTTGATTTCATGAATTCTTATGAAATCTATATAGATTTGCCTGGTTTTTAAGTTATTTTCTTTAAACACTACACATGTTTCTAATAAACCTTTGAAGACTATAAGAAGCATATGAAGCATGTATAATATCACTAGTATCTATATAAATACATGTTATTTCATAAGTTGATACAAATATATTCCTTGCATGGTAGTGTTTTATATATATGTTTACTTTGATGAGACTACAGCATAAACCAATCTGAAATTGGATTATCTTAAATATAATTATATGCACACTCTGTAAGTTAGAGGGTCTGTGATTTCTTGTCTGGACAGAGCCCCATCACATGTTTACAGGTAGGGAAGTGTATTGACTTAGACTGATCATGACTCCAGAATTGGAAAATGAATTCTGCTTCCTCCTTCTGACACTTCCACTCCAATGTTGTTGTTTGTTTTTCCTCTTTTTTTTGAGGGGGGGCACCCCTCAAAACCAGCTCCCAAATAAATCATACATGGATATTTATTCTTAATTATAAATGTCTGGCCTTAGCTTGGCTTGTGGCTAGCCAGCTTATTAACTTAAATTATTCCATCGAGCTTTTGCCTTTGGCCTTTTACCTTTCTCTATTTCTGTATACCTTTCATCATTTTTTACTCCATGACTTGCTATGTAGCTGGGTGGCTGGTCCCTAATGTCCTTCTCCATTCTCTCTCATTCCTTCTACCTTCTTCTCCCAGGTTTCTCCTTCTACATCTACTCTCTGCCTGCCAGCCCTGCCTATCCTTTCTTCTGCCTTGCTATTGGCCATTCAGTTCGTTATTAGACCATCAGGTGTTTTAGACAGACAAAGTAACACAGCTTCACAGAGTTAAACAAATGCAACATAAAAAAAAAGTAACATACCTTAAAATAATATTTCCCAACACTCCATATCTGTCCCAACCCCTTCAAAGTGGTGGAAGAGGAAGAGCCAAAGGAGATTTCTTATGGCTGTGCAGCAGTCCTACTTTACTCTTGAGTGGTATTGGCCAAAGTTATTGGATGGGCAAGGCCAAATTCAAGAACAGGAAGATGGTCTGATGAAGTACCTAGAAGTCATCTGACAAATGGCAAGTATTAAAGTGAAGAAATTGTCTCACTGAAGCAGTCTCTCTATGCCAATTACTAATTAAAGATAAACTACCAAAAGGAACATATATCATTTTGTAATAATAAAATCACACAATAAGAACAAAACTGAAAAAAAATATTCTAAAACTTAAGTTTAACTATAAACATTAAAATGATTTTGTACATACAATTATAAAAAAAATTACAGTTGACATTTACATCCCACTCATCATTACCACTTATCTCAAGATATTTCAGTGTGCTGATTTAATCTTCCCAAACCCATTTTCTTGAGTCATAAAAATCACAGTTCCTGGAAGCCATTCCTCTTCTTTTGCTCTGTGCCCAACATCTTTTTTTTTTTCAATAACAGTTCTGATGATTGAACTAGGGTGTCATCCATACTAGACAAGAACTCTAACCACTAAGCTCCAGCTCCAGCTCTACAAGGCCATTTTTAACTTTCATTTCAAGTTTTACACTTTATTTATTTATGTAGTGTGTGGTCTGTGTGTGTATGTCTGTGTGCTTGTGTGCTTGTGTGTGTGTGTGTGTGTGTGTGTGTGTGTGTGTGTGTGTGATTGTGCATGCACCATGGTGTACATATCAAGGACAGAGGACAACTTGTGGGAGTCAGTTCTTTTTTTTTACATGTAGTCTAGGGATGGCATTCCGGTCATCAGGCTTTATCCACTGAGCCATTTTGCTTAATCCCAATTCCATGTTTACAAATACACATTCTCTTGTCTGCATAGAACTTTACCTTTCTGCTTATGACAAGAGGTATTTTAAATGGAAGATGGAGAGTTATTTTAAAATACACAATGACTAACTAACTTTCACTCACCCAAATTTTATCTACTAAATATATTCACATCTTAACTATGCCTTAAATCTTTTTTAGGTATTAAGATATGCTAAACTTTCATTTCATAAATTATTCCAAAATCTACATAGATTTCTCTTCTTAAAAGTTACATGTTTTAGTTGCTTCAGTGTGGTGGTGCAGACAGTCACGTCCTGTGCGTGGTCACTCCTCAAAGATGCCTGAGGAAACCCAGACCCAAGACCAACCCATGGAGGAGGAGGAGGTCGAGACTTTCGCCTTTCAGGCAGAAATCGCCCAGTTGATGTCCTTGATGATCAATACTTTCTATTCAAACAAAGAGATCTTTCTGAGGGAGCTGATTTCAAATTCATCAGATGCTCTGGACAAGATCAGATACGAGAGTCTGACCGACCCTAGTAAACTAGACTCTGGGAAGGAGCTGCACATTAATCTTATTCCCAACAAACAAGATTGAACCCTTACTATTGTGGATACAGGAATTGGAATGACCAAGGCTGACCTGATCAATAACCTTGGTACTATTGTCAAGTCTGGTACCAAAACCTTTATGGAGGCTTTGCAGGCTGGTGCAGATATCTCTATGATTGGCCAGTTTGGTGTTGGTTTTTACTCTGCATATTTGGTTGCTGAGAAAGTGACTGTGATCACCAAACATAATGATGATGAGCAGTATGCCTGGGAATCCTCAGCAGGGGGCTCATTCACAGTGAGAACTGACACAGGTGAACCAATGGGCCGTGGAACAAAGGTTATCTTACACCTGAAAGAAGACCAAACCGAGTATTTGGAGGAATGGAGAATAAAGGAGATTGTGAAGAAACATTCTCAGTTTATTGGCTATCCCATTACTCTCTTCTTGGAGAAGGAACGTGATAAGGAAGTCAGTGATGATGAAGCTGAAGAAAAAGAAGATAAAGAGGAAGAAAAAGAAAAAGAAGAAAAGGAGTCAGAGGACAAGCCTGAAATAGAAGATGTTGGTTCTGATGAAGAAGAAGAAATGAAAGATGGTGACAAGAAGAAGAAGAAGATAAGAGTAAAGTACATTGATCAAGAAGAACTCAACAAAACAAAGCCTATTTGGACCAGAAATCCTGATGACATTACTAATGAAGAATATGGAGAATTTTACAAGAACTTAACCAACGATTGGGAAGAACATTTGGCAGTGAAGCATTTTTCTGTTGAAGGACAATTGGAATTCCG